AGGGGTTAGGTGGATTGGCCTTGCAGAATTGCCCCATAGTATCCAGGGATGTGCAAGTTAGATGGATTAGCCCTGGGAAATGCATGGTTAAAAGGAAAGGGTGCTCTTTGGAGGGTTGGTGTGAATTCAATGGACCAAATAGGCTGCCTCCAAACTGTAGGGATTCTATAATTGTATGGTTCTAATAGTCAGCCAGAAAGCATTTAAGGAGCAGTGATCATTGTATCACAGTTTATTCTGATAATGGAAGAAGGTAAGGAGTAATCTAGAGTAAGATTGATTAATTGAAGGAAAATCTTCAGTGGGACAAGAGTGGATGTGTATTGAATTGAAGATTGACAGGAGAAATAGCAGCTGAACAATGGGCTATCTTAACTGAAACCTATGTTCAGGCTCATTCAAGCTATATGATCTTAAAGGGAAAGGTAAGGAAATAGTAATGCAGATGACAAAAGAAAGAGAAACTAGACAAAACATGAAAAATGTGCTCATGACAGAGGTCGGGGAGAATATACAATTGTTAACCAGGCTAAATATAGAAGACTCGGCATGCATGTGATAAAATAAGGAAAAGTGGCAAAGAGGGAATGTAAAAAAGACCAGCAAGTAATGTAAAAGAAAATCCCAATGTCTTCTATAGAGCAAATTAGATACCAAAAAGGGGATTAACACAGGTACGGGGCATGTTAGAGACAAGTTTAAAAAGGAAGACTGTTAGGTAATGAAGCGGAGGAAATTCGGTAACTGGAAGGGTTTATAATTGATGAGGAATAGGTGATGGGTGAGTTATCTGAATGTAAAGTTGATGAGCCACTAGGACTGCAGAGGCAATGGCCATAACTGTTCATTCTTCCTTGGAATCAGGAAGGTGCCAGAAGACTTGCAAACATCACACACTTTTTTTTTTTTTTTTTTTTTGAAAATTAGTGTGAATATAAATCCCAAAATTATAGGTTGGTCAGTTTAATTCTAGTAGAGGGGGAAATTCTCAATAGACGTTGTCAACCTGAGATAACAAGGTGTAGAGCTGGATGAACACAGCAGGCCAAGCAGCATCAGAGGAGCAGGAAAGCTGACGTTTCGGGTCAAGACCCTTCTTCAAAAAAAAACCTGAGATTTTTTTTATTCAAAAGAAGTATTATTTGAGGAAAGCCAAAACGAATGTAAGGAAACATCCTGTTTGACTAACTTGCTAGAGCTTTTTGAGGTACTGATGAGGTTAACATGGTGTACCTGGAATTCAAAAAGGCATTTGACACTGCTACACAACAGACTTGAAAAGTTGTAGTTTATGGAATAAAATGGGACAGTGGCAACAAAGATATAAAATTGACTGTTTGACAGGGAAGAATACTAGTTATTGCAGGCCCTTCAGGCTGGAGGGAGGTTGTTGTGGAATTCCCAAAGGGGTCAGTGTTGAGCCACTTGCTTTTCCTGATATATGTTAATGTACAAGGTATATAGGGCATAGTTTTGAAGTTTGTGGCTAATACAAAGCTTATGGGCATTGTAAACTATGAGGAGGATAGTGTAGATCTTCAGAAGGTCATTGAAATGTTGCAGTCCAAAGATGTGCAGGTTAGGTGGATTGGCCATGGGAAATACAGGTAGGGGGTGTGTCTGGGTAGGATGCTGTTCAGAAAGGTGATGTGGACTTGATGGGCCGAATGTAGGGATTCTATGATTCTATAGAATGGGAGACATTGGGAAAGCTAAAAAGAATTGTACCCAGTATTTTATTTCTAAAGGTTACAGGAGCAGAGAGACCTTGGCGTGGAAAGAATGCAGAAAAAAATCAGGAGAACGTTCCTCGTGCATGGAACCATTGGCTGTGAAGGTAGATTTGAGAATTTGGGAATAAGATTAAGAAGAAATAGGATGGTGTTCAAAATCATGAGGGATTTAGGCAGAATGGCAGTGGAGAAATCATTCCTACTTGTGAAGGAGAGGTGTCCTGGAGTGAGATGACTGATTTCCAATGACTGCAGTCATCTTCTTTCATGTCCAGTATGCCTCCAACTTACAGAAAGTATTTCCCTCCATTCCTGTTGAATTCCATTTCTATAAGGCTTCTTAATTCCACACTTGGTCGAACGCAGCCTTGATATCAAGAACAGTGAGTCTTGCCTTCACTTTGGAATTCATCTCTTTTGTCCAAGTTTGAACCAAGGCTGTAATGAGGTCAGGAGTTGAGTGACCCTGGCAGAACCCAAACTGGGCGTCACTGAGCAGATTATTGCTGAGCAGGTACTGCTTGATAGCGCTGCTAATGACACTTCCATCACTTTACTGATGATAAAGAGTAGACTGATGGGGCGGTAATTGGTTGTGTTGGATTTGTCTTGGTTTTTGTGGACAGGTCATACCTAGGCAATTTTCCACATTGTTGGATAGAAGTCTGTGTTGTAACTGTACAGGAAGAGCTTGTCTAGGGGTGTAGCAAGTTCAGGAAAACAAGTCTTCAGCGCTATTGCCAGAATGTTGATGGAGCCCATACCCTTTGCAGTATCCAGTGTCTCCAATTGTTTCTTGATACCATGTAGTGTGAATTGATTTGGCTGAAGACTGGCATTGGAGCTTTCAAAAGGGAATTAGACTGCTTTATTTTTTGAAATAAGAATTGTTCAGGATGCAGGGAGAAGGCAGGAAAATGGCAATAAGTGAGATGCTCATTTGAAAAGCTGGTGCAGACATCATGATGGGCTGAAGGGTCTCCTTCTAGACTCCAACAATTTGTTTCAAACACACAGAAGGGAGCTCAGAATCACACCATAGATGTATTTTGAAGTTTAGTCAAAGACCTAATTAATGTAACCATAGTCTGTACTGATCCTCCTAATGTGCCTAGCAATAATGATTGAAGACATCCTGTCGAGAGAGTGATTAGCCTTTGCCAGCCTCCACTGATGTATTTGATTTATCGATGTGAATTATTGTCATGTATGTCTAAGTACAGTGAAAAGCTTTGTTTACGAGCAATACAGGAAGATCATAGAAAGAAAGGACGTACAGATCATAGAGTGAAAAAGAACCTAGACAGGGCATACAAGTTATGTCGCACAGGGCATGTGCTAGGCAAGATCAACATTAGCAAGATCAGCTTTATTTGAAGTTAGAGAGTCCATTCAGCAGTCTAATAAGCAGGGAAGAAGCTGTTCTTGAACCTGTTGGTGCATGTGTTAAAGCTTCTGTATCTTCTGCCTGATGGAAAAGGTTGTAGGAGATCATTGCCAGGATGCGATGGGTCTTTGTTGGTAGCCTTTCCATGGCATCAAGCCTGTAAATGGAAGGTTGTTGATGAGCTTGGATTTTCATAGTAATTATACAATACACTTGGATTTAATGTTGCACAATGGCTTGAAATTATTTCTCGCCATGTTGGAATACAGTTTGTAAGTATTGACTTTTATGATGTTTAAGAATTCTGTCACTGAAGATTGAGTGACTTATTGTCTGCATTTTCTTTCTACTAAAACCAGAATTCTTCTTTTCAGTTCACAAATTGAATTGACGTGTCTTTGCTGGAACTCATTAGCTATGGTAACAGATTCAGTAACTGGCAGTATCCCATAGGAATCCAAAGCTTTGACAAATCTGCAAAACACTTCTTTCTCTTTGATACCAAAGTCGTGGGTTAGGCCTGTGAGGATGCTAAAGTGGAGATTGAAGGTTTCAGTAAATCTCTTGGCTTCATGACAATTAATTCCAAAGAGAATGAAGATGTGTTGTGTTTTTGATAGAGATCAAGAATTAATGTTACTTTAAAGAAGTAAATACAAAGGAGAATTGCAGAATGCTGGAAATGTGAAATAGAAACCAAGTGTTGGAAATACTCAGCAAGTCAGGCAATGTCTGTGGATAGGGAAAGACAGTAAATGTTTCAAGTTGTTGTTATTTCATCAGAACTATATAGTTCAAGTACCTTCTGTTTTTACCCCATTTTAAAGGAATTCTGGCAAGGCTTTTCCTCTCTGTAGATAAGAACAACAACGTCCTGACTGTTTCCAAATTCCGATTCATCTTCTGCATTTCTGGATGAAGGGAACAACTCCCTTTAATCAGGAGTTGTCTGGTTCTTATTGTAGCTTGGGTAGAATGACTTGTCCAAGCATTTGTTCTGCTTCAGCATTGACAGGCAAATATCTCAAAACAAGTCTTCACAAACAAAAGCAGAAATTGCTGGTAAAGTTAAATGTTTTCATTTTGGGAGTGTAATGGTGTTCCTCGAGAGTAAAACAGATGTTTCTTTCGCATCCTTTTTGGGGCATTTAGTTGGGTTACTTAGAGACCATAAGGTGTCTCTGCTTCTAATACCTGTTAGGATTTTAACCCATTTAAACTTAAGCTGCCCCCAAAGTGCAGCCTTTCTCCCCAGTTGCATTAGGCTGGCCATTGTCTGTCAACTTATAAAAAGATGTTTTTCTTTGGGGGTAGGTGTAGGGAAGAATATTGGAAAGAAACGTTCTCTGCTGTGAAGTTATGTCTCAATTCTGCCTTCTACAAAAAAACCTTATTCAAAGTTCTGAGATAGCAAGAACTGCAGATGCTGGAATCGGAGACAACACACTGTGGAGCTGGAGGAACACAGCAGGCCAGAAATCATTTCTGAAGAAGGGTTCTGACCCGAAACGTCAATTTTTCTGGTATTCAAAGTTCTGTTGCTTAGTATAAATATTAAGCTATTATAATGGAGTCAGATTAATAGAATTAAAAGAACTGGTAATAGCCTAAATAGTTTCAGAATGAGTGGGTTAGTTAGGTATCTGGGAGAAAGCCTCCCTTAATATTTTGCTTGCTTGGCAAAGCTGTTATTTTTAATGAGATAACTGGGAAAAGCTGGTCATTGAGAGAGAATGGAAATCGTCGTGTCATCTGTAGATTAGCTGTTCAGTTTGTTTTCAGCAGAATTGCAGTTAACATTCTCATTAAAATCTATTTGAATAAGATTCAAACGCTGTCCATCCAAAACATTATTCAGTCTGTCTATCCATTTGGAACAGGATTATCTGACCACAAAGCACAAAGTAATCCATGGGGATATTGCTGCTCGGAATATTTTGATCCATGAAGATCTAACTGTTAAACTCACCGGCCTGAGCCTGGCCTTTGATGTTTACAAAACTGGAACGCTGTCGTCCCATAAAGCAGCACAGGTTCCAATTAAATGGCTTGCACCTGAAAGGATAATAAAACGACCAATCACAGAAAAGAGTGACACGTGAGTACAGGAAAGCTTGAAATGTGACAGGAATTGCAGTGATCAATTGGATTTGAGCCACTGAGAGGTGTAATATGGGAGCAGGGTGGGAAATAGATATGTAATAGATTCTGAGATGTATTGAACTGTCCACCAGAACAATCCTTACTTTTTGCCTTTGAACTTGTTTTAGTTTATTCTTTCATGGATATATCCATCCCTAATAGGTTTTGAAAAGAGAAGCTTGCAAGGTAATTTCAGAAGGCAGTTAAGAGTCAACTACTTTCTTGAACATAATGTAAAAAGACAGGATCAGGAATGGTGAGGCAATGGCCTAGTGGTATTATTGCTGGACTGTTAATCTAGAGACCCAGATAATGTTTTGGGGACCTCGGTTCAAATCCCGCCATGACATACGGTGGAATTTGAATTCCATTTATAATTTTAAAAATGTCTAAAATTAAGAGTCTAATGATGACCATTAAGCCATTGTTGATTTTTGGAAAAACCCATCCAGGAAACTGTCATCCTTACCCAGTGTGGCCTACATGTGACTCCAGACCCACAACAATGTGGTTGACTCTTAACAGCCCTCTGGGAAAATTAAGAATGGGCAATACATACTGGTTTAACCAGCAATGCCGTCATTCAATGAATAAAGAAAAAAAAACTTGAGCCCCATCAAGCCTGCTCCACTGTTTGATATGATCATGGTTGATCTCACCTCAGCTTCAGCTTCACTTTCCTGCCCACTCTCCATAATCCTTTAGTCCATCACTAATTTAAAATCTGACTATCTTTTTTACTCAATGCCCCAGCATCTACCACACTCTGGGGATTTGAATCTCTCAGATTCACAACATTTTTGAGAGAGAAATAATTCCTCCTGATCTGTTTTAAGTCTGTTACCCCTTATCCTAAAACTATAACCTGTCATTCTAGATTGCCCCACATGAGGAAACAACCTTTCCCTGTCTACTTTGTCCATCCCCTTTAGCATCTTGTATACCTCAACTAGATCTCCTCTCATTCCTAAGTCCAGAGAATCTAGGCCTGAACTGTTCAATTTCTCTTCATAAGGCAAACTACTCATCTCAGAAATCAATCTAATGAACCTCCTCTGAAATCCAACTACATCACCCCCTCAAGTAAGAACACCAAAATTGTACACAATAGTCCATGTGCAGTCTCTTTAATGTCTTGTACAATTGCAGCAACACTTCCCTACTTTTTAATACTCTTTTCCTTCCTCGATAAACAATGCAATTCCGTTTGCCTTCCTTATTACCTGATACACCAGCTTACTGGTTTTGTGGTTCATGCATGTGGAACTAGATTCACATGTAGACCAATTCCTCAAAAATCAGAATCTCTACAGTGTGGAAGCAGGCCATTCGGTCTGTCGAGTTCACACTGATCCTCCAAAGACCAACCCTATCCCTGTAACCCTGCATTCCCCATGGCCAATCCATCCTAACCCGCACATCTTTGGACTGTGGGAGAAAACTAGAGCACCTGAAGGAAACCCACACAGACATGGGGAGAATGTGCACACTCCACACAGACAGTTGCCCAAGGGTGGAATCAAACCTGGGTCCCTGGCGCTTCAAGGCAGCAGCGCTAATCATGAAGCCACTGTGCTAGCTAGATCAGATGGGTTTTACAACAATCAATGATGATTGTCATGTGTACCATAGCTGAAACTACCTTTCAATTCAGGATTTATTAATTTACCAATTTTTATACTTCACCAAGTTGAACTTTGACCCCAGAACATTGGCCTGGTTCTATGCATTACTAGTCTCTTGGCATTACCACTACTCAACACCTTGTTTTACCTCAACAACAATAAAAACAAAGTAGCTGGAAAAGCTCAGCAGGTCTGGCAGCATCTGTGAAGGAGAAAAGTGTATTAACTACTAAATAAAAATACCTCGTTGTTTGTGGATTAATTCATGATGCATGTTGAAGCCATAAGATGTATAGCTCAATCGAAGATGGTCAAACACGCCAGTGATACAATGTTAAGTGTTCTGTGCACCTACGATTGAAATTCTAAATGCTGCCTCATTAACTACAGCCCATTTTGTTCGAAAACAAAGATTGGGAAATATAACTTTATAGAAATTGTCAATTGAACACTTGCCTAAATAGGAATTTAATGCTTTTAGAGTGACCTTGCTTCTGTATTAAGGGAGAAGAATTGTATTTAACCTTTTATTTTTATTCACAGATGGTCATTTGGAATCCTTCTGTATGAAGTAGTTACTCTAGGTAGGTTGATTTGTAAATCAACTAATTTAATGAACATTAGTTTTAACATAAACAGCAAATAAAAAGTTTCAGCCAGATTCTCAGAAATATCCTTCACTGATATTCAATCCTAGTGAAGTGGTTGTTTTTTTTTTAATTCATTCATTGGATGAGGGTGTCGCTGGCTAGGCAGCATTTATTGCCCATCCCTCATTGCCCAGAGGGCAGTTTAGAGTCAACCACATTGCTGTGGGTCTGGAGTCACATGTAGGCTAGACTAGGTAAGGGTGGCACTTTCCTTCCCTAAAGGACATTAGTGAACGAGATGGGGTTTTCCAACAATTGACAATGGATTCATGGTCATCAGTAGACTCTTAGTTCCAGATTTGTATTGAAATCCCAATCTACCATCCCACCACCATGGCAATATTTGAACCTGGGTTCGCAGAACATTATGTGGGTCTGGATTGACAATGCAGTTATAATACCACTAGGCCATCACCTTTCCTTAAGTGTCCTTCTATCTTAACTCTAATTTCTTACTTAACTATAACTTCATTCTATTATCACTTTGCCATGTTCTCTTCTGATGTCGGTAATAGGCTTTACTTTCATGCTTATAATATTCCTGAACAGTGTTAAGGACTCTATTCGAAACTCCTCTTTGAAAGGAGTCAGATATACTTTTCTACCAAACGGTGTTGAGACTTTGATATCATTAATATGATTAAGGCCAATACAAATTTATTATCATTTGGGAATTTGGATTTTTAAAGTAGAGGCAGATAGATTTTGATTTCAGTTCTGTGAAGGTAGTTTTATTTTTAGGTCACAGTCATTTAGAAAAGTAACTAAAATCATTTCCAAAACAACTGACTTAGTAAGTACCTAGCCAAATATCTGTGGTGTTCATTGAAGACTTTATGATGCTAAGTTTATGACATTGAGAGCAAATGATCAGTTTCCACCACTAGTTCATCTGATGTTCATTTCAAAAGAATTGGGTTTCAGCTCCTTCCTATCAGGAGAATTGGGGTTTGTTTTTTCAGTTTAAGAGACCATTTTGCCTAGCAGAAGGGTTTTTAGTTTGTGTTGTCTTCAAGTGAGAATTGTGTAGAAGCCCTCAAGCTGTCATTTGAAGTAGTTTAGATCATTAGTATGGGAATGAATTTTCTTGGTCATTAAACCTGGTAAAAGTTAGTTAGGTAAGAAAATAAAATTAACATAGAAGGGACACTTCACTGGGATTGAACATCGGTGAAAGATATTTCTGGGAAACAGACTAAAACTTTGCTTTGCTGTTTATGTTGGGATCTTTCTAAACTCATTATTTATTTATTTTGTTCTTTTGATAAAGAATATTGGCAGGTTCAATGACTAACCACCACAGTAACCAACTGCACACATTAAACTTCTGACCTATCAAGCTAGGTTTCACTCTGGGATTGGAGTTGTCCAATATTACTATCATCTGGGGACATAAGACCACTCTTGAATTTACATAGACCTGGCTTCACAGAACTTCTATGCCACAAACTGTTGATGCCATTTACACAATAGTAGGACCTGTATCATGTTGCACCATTGCTATGACAATGGTGTAGAACTAGCCTCCATTCACTGAGTTCCCTAGCTTGAATGAGTCTCACTCCATTTCACTTCAGTTTGGGATCAGGTCAGGATGTAATTTATGTAAATGGAGTCTCTAGCATCAAATCCTGACCGTTTTGGAGTGAAGAGGACTGTAATGCCTTGCTTTGTGCTGGGGTTAATTCTGTATTTAGGCTGTCTCTGTGCTGCTACAGGAAAGCTTTATGAAGTTAAACAACATACTCAAAACCACATTGATGCTAAGCCTATAAAGGTGTCATCAGTGCTCACAAGTAGAAAGTAGGAAGCTAGGTCAAATATGTATGAGATCAGTGAATACTGCACCTATCAAGTAATACTTAAACAGCTGAATTTAAGCATGACTTTGGTTAAAGTCACTGTCATTTAAAGATTTAGATACTTCATGGATTACTAAGACTCCATCTTGATTCTATATTTACTCAGTATTTGACCTTACTACCATCATTTTATTTCATAGGAGCACCTCCGTATCCTGACTTTCAGCCTCTAGAAATCTTTCCAAAGTTGCAGAGAAATTACAGAATGCCCAAACCGTTCAACAGTAGCAATGCACTGTAAGTAGCTCACCATGTCATGGCTCACCACCAGCTCATTTGATTCGATCATAGTTGGTCTGTTCCTTAACTCAATGGCAGCTTGTCTGTTTTAGCTGGTAAGTAGACAGTGCAGTCAAGCCAAGCCAATATCCAGGTAAATTGGGGAATTCAGGAGGACTTTGGAACATCTTTTTGGAACCGGAAGTAACGATGACCCAGATTTACTTCATGGAACTCCGATCAAATATTCCTCTTCCTCCTCGTGGTCCCACAGCCTGGAAATCTTAGAACAGAAATTCCCGTCGCTCGAAGCGCTGTCCAGTTAGTTCCATCCACAATGGGTGAACTGATTTGCAGTCAATTTCTGACAGGTGAAGGCAGCGTCTCGGTAGATGATTGCAGAAACCATTGTCAAAGATTGAACATTGACGATAAGTGATTAATGACTGTGCAAATATAATTGGTGTACCAAGTGGACTTAGTTTGGAAGAGAGATCAGTGCGATTTTTCATTGATTTGGGTTGGTGTTAGTGGAGCTTCTCCTTGTGTTACTGAGTTTGATGTGCTGGCGGGGCAGCTGTGATGATGGTTATATGGCTAGTTCCACAATGCTGTCCCAGTGGTGACAAAGAAATGATGATGAAAATCCAGCTTGATTGCATCAGAGAATCAAATGCAGCAAGTTTCCTACTGCCTTTCGATTTGACTTCTTGAAGAATCATAGAATCCCTACATTAGGCCCATTGAGTCCGCACCAACCCTCTGAAGAGCATTCCACCCAGAGTCCTACCCTGTAACCCATTATTTACCATAGTTAGCACACCTACTCAGCACAGTACAGGATAATTTTAGCATGGCCAATCCACCTAACCTGCACATCTGTGGACCATGGGAGGAAATCCACACAGATTTTCTACGAACTTCACAGAGTTGCCTGAGGGTGGAATTGAACCTTGGTCCCTGGCCTTATAAGACAGCGGTGCTAACCACCGAGTCACTGTGCCTCTCAGTGTGTTTGAAGTGTGATTAATCCAAAGCGTATTTTTAGGAAGAGAGATCATAGCTTCCAAGAATTTTGGAATCTCTCTACTATACCTACTCACTATAGGCACTACCTTCCCTTCACAAATAAAACTAGTGCAGTCATTCTAGGAGGTATGGAAGTGAGAAGATGTGATAATGGGGCTCTGGCTGGAATTTGGGAAATGAAAATAACCTTTTATATATTCCTAGATCTCCATACAGCCCTCCTCTGAGTAATACCCAAATGTTCCTGTTTTCAAAGACACCAGCGTTCCCAATTTGGCGAAATTTCAGGGACTCGCATTGAATTTTGTTGGGGTCCAAAGTGATCTAATGAATGAATTACCTAATGGGTCATTTAGATCCAAGTCCTATATTGACTGTGACACCCTGTACCATGACTGCAGAAAACACGAACGTGCATAACTTGTTGAAAAGGTTTCAAGATTATTTCAAAGGTTTTAAAGTAAATCATGCAAAGTTGTTTCTGTTGGTGAATCTGTAGTGAGTGGGGATTGAGTCAGAATTAACTCAACAAAGTGAAGGGAAAGTTTGAAAAGGTATTTAAGTAGAAGGTTATTAACACATGGGACACTTTACCAATATTGATGATTGAGGCAGAGATTATTTTGTTATTTTAAAATGGAATTTGAAAATAAAAAATGTAAAAGACTGAAAGGAACTTGAGGTTCCTGACCAGGCATCATGGGACAAGTGCAAGTTTCCTGAACTGTAATTACTGTACACCAAATCTGGAGGTGAGATTTGAGTAATGCTGAAATATGGTAATGAAAATGAGATATGGAACTCTCCTGGCTAGTGTTCAGACCTTGTAATAATAAGTGTGCAGGCATTAGCTTTATGATTCAACAGTAATTTTCTATGGCTGTGGAATTCAGAGAATAACCAGAATCAGACATAGGTATTAGCAGAAATAATCCCCAAGCATTTCAGCATCCAGTGTGATAGAACAAATTAGTCCTGACAATTGTTCAGTAAAACCAGTGAACACATCCCACACTGAACCACTTGTTTGTTTACATCTGACTGAGGATCATCACTTGCCTTATGGATGGCATCCTATGCTGTTAATTCTTCATTTGTTAAAACTTAAATCTTAAACCTAATCTTCTATTATTCACATTTAACCTTTGTGGAAGAATTCTCTATAATTTTATGCACTCTTTAGTTGCTGTTTCTGAAATCCAGAAGGTTTTTGAGTTGCTGAGTTTCAGCTTCCACCCTTTCTCTATAGAATTTGATGTTTAAGAAGCTGTAGAGAGAAAATCTCTCATTATTGCCTAATTTAATTGAAAATGTTTTGAGATTCTACAGTTTAGATTCGGGGTGTGTTGGATTTTTCATTCTGTACATAACATAATTGATCTGAATTGAATTGACTTGTTTTTCCCTTTAAACTCTCGATCGTGAGTAATGCTGTACTTTGAGTAATTGTCTGGGTCTGGTCATATAGTCCGAGAAGAACATTATAAAATGACTGCAGTGTAGCACTGACCCAGGAGAATAGTGCTAAGTACCTTGTGAAACCAGATTGTCTGAAGCAAGGAGGCTTATCTGATCCTTGCCAAGTCGGATGGATCCAACTAGGACTGTCTATCATTTTCCAGTCCATTCACTGTCCTGATGTGACCATTTCTACATGAGAATTGAGAGAATTGACATTCCAGTCACTGATCCCTTGAGCTGTTCTGATATGGTACTAGCAGATGCATGACTTGAGTGCTGTTCTCATGTATTGCCCAATGTTGTTTCCTAGACTGTTTGGGTGCGTAGTTTTCATAGATGAATAATTGAGTAATGCAAACTTGATGTGAAATGTTTAATCTGATCTCTGACCTGAAGGTTGAAAATGTTTGGAATGAGAGAACCATTCAACCCATTGAGCCAGTTCCTCCTCCTTTGTAACTTGCTTCCTCATGGCTTATCGAGTTTATTTCATCTCTGAACTGAACATGGAGTCATAGTGACACACAGGCGAATATAGACAGCAAGCTCCAGGCTGTGACCATTTGCTACCTAAGCATTTCTTCATTATATTTCCCCTGTATTTCTTCCCAAAATGTTAAATCTGCGACTCGCCCACGTGGCTTTATTAGGGACTAATGGGAACAGCCTTTTTTTTCCTGCCTTATCTAATCCTATCACAATCTTAAATGCTCTATCAAATCACTCTCTCCTTAGCTCCAAGGAGAACACCTCTAGCTTCTCTACCCTAACCTTGCTGTGAAAATCCCCTCCGCTGTACAAACCAGTCTGGTAAATCTCTTGTGAACTCTACCAAGGATCCAGGCTTGATGACCACAACACGATACAGTAATTTGTGGCCTCACCAGACCTTTATACAAGTTCAGCATAATGTCCACGTTTCTGGACCCAACAGTTGAGGCCCCAGATCTTATATTTTTCTGTAATTATTCCCTCTGTCTCCTGCCACTATTAAAGATAAGTGGGCTTGAACCCTTAGGTTTCTCTAACTTCATACACCCTTCAGAGCAAATGAAACAATCAAAAACGTGCTCCTAACAGTATAGTATTAGCATTCCCCTGAGTTATTAAGAGATAGGTACTGGAACAGCATGTCCTGCATTATTGTGTCAGTGATATTCGTTCTTAAAAGAATTTAATCTCTCCGAGAAGAAAGGAGAAATTAAGCATTACTTAAGGATAATTCTTATCTTCTCAACTATTAAAAGGAATAATGTGCGGTCCATGTTAATCATCTTGTATATAACAAAATAGAATTTAAGTTTCTAAATACCAATAATCTGAAAATTTGAACTGTAATCTTTTAAAAGAAACTCTTTCTTCCCTGACCCCTCTGCTTCCCCTCCAGATATGATTTGATGAAACAGTGCTGGCAGTGGAAACCCTATGAAAGGCCAAACTGGGCTGATTTGACTAACAAACTGGAGGCCTTGATGAACAATGCTGATGGAGTTAAGTTGCTTCAAGTAGCTGATGATCTGGACCTTAACCAGTACAAACAAGCCGCTGGGGTTTTCTGATGAGGAGCATGACAAAGACTGCAACGCTGTGGACAAATAGTCAACAGAGATGTGTGAAAGGAAATGTTCAATTGAAGGCCACAATGAGCAATAAGCTGAACAGCAGAATTCTTGCCTCGCTGGAGAAAATGGGAATTGTAAACTTGGTGAAAGCTGTGAATACACGTTGACTGAATGCTATTATATGATCAAAGACTTTAAGGTACTACCATCAGCTGAGGTAACTAAGCAACAGAAAGTTGCTGTGCTGCCCAGTGAATTTCCTGCGTGCGCTGAACCTTCAATTTAATATGGAACCAGTTCTTTTCCAAAAGCAGCTTGAATGATCTTTGGCAACAGCAGAGAGTAGAATGTTCTAGAAGACATGATGACTATCAGGGCAGTATAACAATTGCCAGAAATTAAGAATAGTTCAGGATGTAACCAATAAATGCTATCTCCAAAGTCCTGGGGTAATGGTCAACAATGGGCAGAGTCCAAAGCTAAAAGTCAGTTAATGCAAAGGTTTGATTTTAAAGCACTGCCTGTACTTATGTCAATCTGCTCAATCTCAATAGCATGTATTCTCTAAACAAGTTCAAACTGAGGGAGGGGAGTGTTTTCCTTAAGACTTCTCCCACCCCATGTGTGACTTTCCACAAATCCTCCACTGAAAGATGAGATGCTATGAAAGTTGTTTTGTATTGTTTATAAACAACATGACACACTGGGGTGGGGGCGGGGGCGGGGTAGGGTTTGGGTAGGGACAGTCACAACTGAGGAGGGAGTCCACTGATTTTGTATTATTATTAACCTGGTGTGTTTTTCTGAATGTATGGGAATTGCTGCATTTTAAAATAACATCTGTGCAAAGATACAGAAGGGAAATTTAAATTGGGTAAAAAAAAAAAGTTAAATTAAATCTGGTTACTTCACTTGATTCGTAGTAATACGCTGGAAGCGGAACACTGCAGTCACTATGAAATAGCTAATAACACATGTCCACCTTAATCCAATTTTAACTTCGATTACCCATTTCCTCTCCTCCCCTCCCCCCAACAAACCCTTCTGATTGATCATCAATGGAAATATCACAGCAGATACTTCTACCCTTTGTTTATCTGTGGCAGTGAAGGCTTCAGCTGACATTCTGACCTCCAGTAGGATTGAGACATGAGATTTTGGGGTCATGAGTCAGCAGTGGCCATTGTGCTGAATGTTACTAACTGTTAGATTCTCATTCTTTCTTTGGCTGATGATGGGCACTGCCAAATGGACAGATCTTTGAGGACTGATTACTGCTGTAAAATAAAAAGCTGCCTCATGACCCTCCACCATGGAATCAGCTGAAGGTCACATCATCCAAATTGCTCTCTGTTGCTCAGCCACTATCATAATCCCCTCATTTTCACTTTAGGGTCATGCACTGCCTGGGACTTGACATTGGGGTCACTCTTGTGGTTAGGATGGGATGGGGAACACACACTCTCTAACCTAACTAATTATAGTGCACAAATTCCTGACCCACAGAACAGCAAGTCTGTCAACAAAGGCCAGGAATGGTACCTGGGAACTGGAGATCTGGCTAAATTACACTGCTCCACTGTTGCAACCTTTTATCTTTACAAAATGGGAAAGTTTCACATTCAAAACTAGGGTTGCTATGTGGAGTATATCTGTAATCATAGAATATTGCTGATCATGATCTAAAAGCATTGGGTGATATGTCACCTAATCTTTGAGCTCTTGGACTGGGTTAGCAACTAACTCTCAACAGAGTTTATGGTCATTCTCAGTTTACTGCTATTCTTGCACAGATTCCTAAAGGAAGGATTCTTAACTTTATTTTGCAGGTTGTTTTTAATCAACGACCTGCAAGATGGCATCTTAAATTGGTAGTATCTCTTTGATCGATCTGATACAGTAATTGGTGACACTGTGTAGGTTGATACAGAAAGCTTGGCCAGTGGGTGAACATATTATCTGCAACATTGAAAACTTAATTTCAAAAATATAAATGTTAAATATTAATACAACAATAAACAAATGAAAAGAAACCTTGGCCTGAGTTTGGCTATTGGCAATTAATGTTGAACAAAATGTTTCTTTGGATTGTGATCCAATCAACATAGTAAAGGTTATTATAGGCCCTGACGACATGCCAGTAGTAGTACTGATGAGTTGCAACTCTAGCCAAGTTGTTTCAGTGAAACAGAAACATACTAGCATTGACTCAATCATGTGGAAAATTGTCCAGGTATGTACTGTTTGTAAAAAGGAAGCCAAATTTAATCTAGCCAATTACAGCCCATCAGTCTACTCTTTGTCATTGGCAAAGTGATGAATTGTGGTGTCAGCAGTGCTGACATTGGCATATGGCATCTCAACAACAATAAAGGTAAAAATGCAATAGCACAATAGTCCTACCAGGCCATAGGGTTACTCTCTCTTTAGAAAAAGATGACTGATTTAATCTGAGGGTGATCACACCTCAGATAAAGGGAGAGAAAGTTAAGAGGAGTCGTTCATGGTCACCTCAGCTGGTGTGGGAATTGAACCCACACTGTTGGCATCACTCTGTGTTGCAAACCAGCTATCCTGCCAATTGGGCTAACCAGTCCTCTTCCAACAATAAGCTGCTCACCAAGCCCTCAGTTTGGGGTTTCACCAAGGCCACTTAGTTCCAAAACCCATTGCAGTCTTTCTGCAAACATAGAGAAAACAGCTGAACTTGGTGATTTATTGTTCATGACATCAGCACAGCATATGACCACATGTGGTGTCAAGCGGCTCTAACAAAATTGTTGTTGATTGGAATTGAAGAAAAGCCCTCCAATAGTTGGAGTATAATCTGGCATGTGGGAAGATGGTTGTCATTGTCGAAGGTCAATCATCTCAGTCTCCGGATATGGCTGCAGGAGTACCGAAGGGTAGGCATTTTCTAATCCACCTGTTCAGAGATGTGGAGCAGGTGGGCTTTGAATCTTGGCCTCCTGACTGTGAGGTGGGGACACCACCACTGCATCACAAGAGTCGAAAGAGGGCTTAAGGCTAGTATCTTAGGCTTAACTGTCCTCAGCTGCTTCCTCACCCCCGCAGGTGACTGCCTCCTGGATGAAATCATGCTTCTCTGATGTTGTTGGAGCACACTTATGCAGTAAATGGAGAGTATTTTACCACACTCCTACCTTGGACCTCGTAGATGGCTTTGGAGAGTTGGGAGGCGAGTTGCTCACCACAGTTTAGCTGAGACTTGCTGTGCCTGCAGTATTTTTGTATCTGGTCTGGTTAAGTTTTACTCAGTTGCAATGCACAGGATGTTTTTGGTAGGGTAATGGTAATGATGTTCAATTTCATTGTGACATGGTTAAATTCTGTGTCATTAGAGATTGTTCATCACCATCACAAATGTTATTGCTGCCTATTGGCTGAAACTTGAATGATGTCCATGTCAACTTAGTGCAACAAAGATAGATTGCTCCAGATTCTGAGCAGTGGTGAATGTTACTGAATGCTGTTCAATCACAAGTGAATAGCCCCACTTTTTACATTGTGATGGAATGATTGTTGGGAGGTAAGTCAGGATTGTTGGGCTTTGGATAGACTCTGAGAAACACTTGCCACAGTGTCATGAGACTGGGATGATTGGCCACAACATCATGCTTTGTGCTAGCTATAACCTCACTAAAGCTAGTGGAGAGTTACATCTTGCAGAAAGTTTGAGTCAATCTATTTCTCCATCTAAACAGAATAGCCTGATTAAAGTAAGGATACTTTTAGCAGCACTTTCAAAATATAGCATTTAACTTTTAACTTTATAAAAATTACCATTACACTGTATAGCTATTGTTGTCCCATTTTGAAATTAAACATTTCATATTGACACTACAAGGCTTAATCCATAAACTCGATCCATAAATGAGTTGAGTCCTGATGATCTTGTAAACAAGTTTGTTTTACCACCAGTTGATTTCACTTTCTTTATATTTTCTTGAGACCACCTTTCTGACTTTGTATGATCTTTCCAGTTTTTGTTTTCATGTGCTTGGTTGAAAGGTTAAGTATATGTTCCTTGCTTTGTTCAAATAAATCTGTATGTTATGCAGTCTGGTCTCTTGGATAGCATTTGTGATGGATGCAAAGGTTTTAAAAGTCAATTTTGTTAATTTTGTCAAGAGTGACGTTGGCTGCTAACAGTTGATCTGGCTTTTGGGAGCAGGCCGTTATGAACTGGAACTTGAAGAGATTTCCTGTTATATTGTTTCTTATCCAATGAAATTAGCAATTTCACCTTCAGATGTGGACACCAGATTACCCTTTCTTCAGTGCTAGGTACAGAGCTTTTACCTTTTCCTAAAACAGCCGTTAACCATTCTGAAGCACACCATCAGAAATTGCTGGAGAAACTTGGCAGGTCAGGCAGCATCACATTATGGTATGGCAACTGCTCTTCCCAAGACCCCAAGATACTACAGAAGTTTGTGAACACAGCCTAGTCCGTCATGCAAACCAGCCTTCCTTCCCTTGACTCCATCTATACTACTTGTTGCCTTGGAAAAGTAACAAACATAATCAAAGATAGTAGGAACTGCCGATGCTGGAAAATCTTGAGATAACAAGGTGTAGAGCTGGATGAACACAGCAGGCCATGCAGCATTAGA